CACAAACACACAAAGCACGGCCAACCTACCAAAATAAACACCTTTAATAAAAAAAAAAAAAAAAAAAAAAAAAACCCCAAACCAAAAAAAAAAAGGGCGACAGCCTTGAGATATCATCATTTGACCTGACCGGAAGAATTACGTTTTTCTGTTCATCTGGTTGCATATGGACTTGAACTCTTGTCTTGTCTGTATTTCATCAGTTCATGGGTGGGTGTATCGACTGGGCTAGGCAATGCCCGGGCAACCTAAGGAAGAAGAACCAACAGCTAAAGGAAACCTACCACCAGCAGGAGGGAGGTTTTCGGGTCGGGGGGAAGACACAGGGGAAGAAGAGGAGGCGAGGGAGGAGGAGGGGGCTGTTGAGGCTGTGGTCTACTATCAACGCTCATCTTCCAGGCCACATCCCACTTCCTCCAATCCATTCCCACTGTGCTTCAACAACACGGCACGGCCTGCTCGCCTGAGTCAGCATGCAGGGGGCACCGGCCCAACGGGAACCCACACTGTCCGGTGGGCTGGCTACCCCATCACAGCTCATCGCATGCGTTGGAGGCTATGCACCTACACAACGAGGCACAGCAAGCACAACTGGCAGAAGCGGCAACAACCAAAGTGTCAGGCGCTACAGGATCAGTCCAACCCCATGAACATACCACCCCACGAGCTGTACACAAGGTGACAACCGAGGAAGTATACTCCTCACCACTCTCTCTCTTTCTGTGCTTGGCCGCGAACTGCGTTCCTCCTTGCCACCCCCATCATCTCCTCCACCATCTCACTTAGCGCACAGACTCTCTGGTTCCCAAATTTTCCCATTGTTCCACCTCCGTTGCTGGAGACATGCTCAGCTTCGGTTTGCAAAACCACTACTGCTCTCTCGTTGGGTAACGCCGACGGTGTGTGCCGCATCGTCGTTTGTCCGGGGATCACCAGTGACCAGCCTGCCCCAATCCTCTCTGTGCCTGGTCCACAGGTTGTTGCAAAAAACAGCAGTATCTGCTCCTATGCCTCACGCAGACAGCCGAGCTGCCTGCAGGCAGCCACGGGACCGTGTTTTATGCCCTGAACCACATTAGATTTCACGAATCACCTGTGTGTACAACAGGATGATGGAGTCCCCGCCGAGGGCAGAACACTCCCGATTCCAGGAGCAGTCCCCACTCAGGATGCAGCCCCCAAAGTCGAGGGATTCGAACATGATTTGCCTACACTTTGTGGGGTTAATTGCAATCCAGCCCCCGAAAGTCGAGGGATTAGGAACATGATTTGCCTACACTACACTTTGTGGGGTTAATTGCAATCCAGCCCCCGAAAGTCGAGGGATTAGAACATGATTTGCCTGTATTGTTGCAATTAACCACAAAGTGTAGACCACATGGGGGATCTGCAAATGGCTGACCAGCATCATTTTGATGAACCGCAATTTTTTTTTTTTGCCCCACCGGGCGCAGACCACATGGGTGACCTGCAAATGACTGACCCCCAAACAGCCCCAGGACATTTCGGGGCAAGCAACAATAACACCATCTGGGTGATCTCAGATCTGCAAATTNTGGGTGACCTGCAAATGACTGACCCCCAAACAGCCCCAGGACATTTCGGGGCAAGCAACAATAACACCATCTGGGTGATCTCAGATCTGCAAATTGTTGGCCAGCACAGCATCCGGCTGGAGGTCCCTGGCAATCTCTGTGCTCTGACTGCGACTAATATCGGTCTTCACATTCTCTACCACCTGTTTTCTACACCGTCAGATTTCCTTGTAGTTGCCCTTCAGCTTGATGCTCTTCTTCCCTGCCCACAGCCAAAGGATTGTGATTATACCAGGGAAGAGGTTTTACCGTTGCCGTCCTTCAAGTAGCAATGAGGGACCACCAACTTGAATTACACAATGTTCAAGCAGGCAAGTAAGTGCTTTAATGCTCCATCCCACATCTCTGCCTGCATTGTACGTGCACCTGGCCATGCACCTGGCCATTGTTCATGCTTGTGATCACTGGAAGCTGTGGGACAACGGCATCGTGGCCCTTGCCATGACACTGATTTCCTGATTCCCAACATGTCAAAGATCATTCCTCTGACCCTGCGATGCAGCAGGACAACGTATCAACAATCGGCAACCGTCTCCTTTGCACAACTCCAAACACTGTTACAGTCGGCTGTCGCCGCCATCGTCTCTGTCACAATCACTACAAGGACATGGTTTCTGCATCCAGAAGTGTAGAGGACGGTCCCTCCGCTCCTGACTGCAGGCACCCTCTGCATCCNCGTCTCTGTCACAATCACTACAAGGACATGGTTTCTGCATCCAGAAGTGTAGAGGACGGTCCCTCCGCTCCTGACTGCAGGCACCCTCTGCATCCGGACACACACTATGTCCATTTTGTGCCCCTGGGGTGTTATACTAATTGCATGGTCCTTTCTAGTGCCCTTTCTAGTGCCCATTCTTCCGTCATGTTGGCAATGGCATGGTTTCTGCATCCAGGAGTGTAGAGCACTGTCCCTCCGCTCCGGACTGCAGGCACCCTCTGCATCCGGCGGACACTAAATGTCCATTTTGCGGCCGTGGGTGTTATACTAAATGCATGGTCCATTTTAGTGCCCATTCTTCCTTCATGTCGGCCTGCAATCGCATGTGGTTTGTCGGGTGTGTACGGTGGGCATGCTCGATGCCAGCCGTCGCAGCAATTGTTGTACCGAGGATGCTCCACCTCATCCTTATACAAAGTATATACTCTCTGTTCTTAAGAACAGTCTAATTCTTGAGCCTTGTCTTATCCTTTCCTATGCTTTCATCTTCATTTTACACTCCTTTCCCTCACCTTTCCTTTGTCTTCCTTTGCTTTGTCTTCTCTCCATCTCTTCTTTGTGTTTACCCCCCCTCCCCCTTTACTCTGCTTCTTTCGCACGGGGTGCAAGTGGGTCGTTATGGCACATGCGGATGTGGGCAGAGCTTGCGCTCAACTTCAATTGGGTGTCCTTTGGGCTGTCACGATAGACTTGGAGGATCTGTTCTCGGACACACCCAGGTAGAGGTGATGCACCCTATACATACATTTGTCCTGGCCACATTGGGGTGTGGGCAGCTCGCGCTCAACTTCAATTGGGTGTCCTTTGGGCTGTCACGATACACTTGGAGGATCTGTTCTCGGACACACCCAGGTAAAGGTGATGCACCCTATACATACATTTGTCCTGGCCAAGTATCCTTGGCGGTACTCCAGTCCAATGAGAGGATATGAGGGATGGGACGGACTCCCACTTCCCCGAACTTTCACCCAACCACTTCCTCCTCAAATGCAACGGTGATTGATTCCCATATCCACTTGTCACTTGCGCTGTAAGCCATAAAACATCAGCCATGTGGCAACGGTTCACTCAGTCAGTAACCCACTTAATACGGTACGGTATGCAAACAGGGCTTAGCGCTAGGGGTCGAGAACACATGGGCAAGGGGGCCACATTTATATGGTCAGACAGAAGAAAATTTACATGCTCAGTGTGGAGAAGGAAGATAAAATACATGGCGGTCAGACAGCAAAATCCTTAACGAAAGCATGTGCTTCTTTCTCTGTAAGCAGGAACGCACACTCTCAGAAGATAAGCTGGTGGCGGAGAAGATCGGTGGTGTATTGCGGGATCAGTTCCTTCCAGTTGGCTATCCACACAGGTATGCTGGGAACCTAACCTACTACTTGAACCTGATCTAACATACAGGGCCAGGTTCATGCTAGTCCAGCACAATCATAGACCAATGGGTCCTGCCCTGTGGATCTACCATTGTCAATACTGCTACAACTTACATCACTCCCTCCAAATGCCCACCCCGTCTCTCCCACGTCTGGCAACGATCATCATGATATCTGTCACCCTGGGATTACCTGGGGCAATCACAACAATGCAACGTTTTTTTTTTCTTTCTTCCTATTTGCTAAGTAAAAAAAAAATAGTAAGCTGAAGTACGCACATTACAATTTTTAAGAGGCAGCAAAAAGGTTGGGAAAGGCAAAGAAAGAAGAAACACCTGAACTCAGATCTCCGTGAACCGCTGAAATAGGTCACGTAACTCTCAAGAGTCAAGACTGTCTACTGTCTTTCTGTCTGTCTGTCTGTCTTTACCCTGCTCAGCATGTTCTGCCTCAGATTATTCTTCACACAAATATAGCTCAAGGGCGTCGTTGTCGTACCCCGTATTGACAGTTTGTCGCGCTTAGGTCAATCGTAATAGTTTAATGCAGTTCAATTGCCATCAGCTCCTCAGAACAGCGCAACGTACCTGATAACTACTTGCCGTGAATCCATATACTATACTCGTAAAACTGTCAATCATTAACTACGGTGACTTTGCACATGAAGTTAAACCAGTAGTATGTTTGAGCGTCTTTTTTTCTGACACCAAAATTTCTGCTGTGCACCAAGTTTTGCCAAATCGGCATGGGCGTGAAATTGCTTCTTCTTTTTTTTTTTTTTATATACATAAAACAGGTCCTTATGGCCCTGGCCCTGGCTCCATTTCCATTCTGGGGAGTGTCAGTCCGGTTCCTATTCCACCGGCAAGTCCGAACAAAATATGACATCATCATGAAACACACTCAATGCTTCCTTCCGTCTGGCCGAAGGAACCCTGACCAGCATTGATATTGATTACTCCAGCGTCATGGAGGATTGACTGTCAGCCGCGAAATTGCTTTTTTTCCCTCATTGCCATCCTTTTTCCATTCGGCAGGCCAAGCCCTGAAGGACACAGTGTGTTAACCTCTGCGTCAGAACAAAAAGCTGGGAAAGTACTGCTGGTTTAATTGCCTCAAATACACAGTAGTGATCAAAAGGCGGTCCCGTGTGGCCCAGACTGGCTCTGTCGAGGGTCCCAGACAGCACTGGACTGGCCAGCCGAAAGAAACCAGTTTTTGGGTGACCACAAAAAATATTCAAAACTAACAAAATCAACGAAAAGTTTACAAGGCTTTTAGGCCTTGGTGGCCCTAAATGAAGGCCTCCCAGCAAAATCCAGTTCAGCCCTCAAAGACTCAAAGAGGGCTGCTGCCTGAGACAAACTGGGTCCCAATGCAGGCTGCCCAGGTAATTACTTGGTAGCCCCTCAAATTGGGAGCCATACTGGGCAGGTACCTGGACGGGGATCCAGGCCGTTACGGACTACTTTCCGGTAGAATGAGATCTCGGCTGCAGAAGAACAAGAGCAAGGAGGCCAGGGGCAGACATGCATCGAGCAGTGGTCAGTATCAGGCAACAGCACTGGCTGAGTGCATGCAGCAAGCGCCCGCACAGGGAAGAGCAGCAGCGTGGCGGCTTCTCGCACGTGCCCTGCTGGCAGGCGCTGTGAAGGGAAGAACTATGTGTCATTCACTGATATGTTTGACTTCTCGCCAAAGCATGTCAAAGGGCAATATAATGCGGTTGCGGACACGCTGTCAGGCAGTGCGGATTTTCAAGGTGCACTTGTGACTGAGTTCGATTTATGTCAGCAGGCGGAAGATTTCTACCAGCATTACTGTATTCTCAATGAAATCGTCAGACGTCTAAATAAATACACAAGATGGAAAAGTGTGTGAAGACTACAGGATGATGGAGGGATTGCTCTTTTCTGAGTAAAGACGGGGTGTAGAGACTCTGTGTGCCCAACAGTGAACCCCTTAGGAGCCTATTTTAGGGGATACAGCGGTCACTTAGGTCTTAGGAAAACTTACACTAATTTGTTGCAGCTTTTCTGGTGGTCTGGTAGGAAACAGGGATGCCCAGATCTATGTAGAGAGTTGCCATGTTTGTCAAAGGAATATAAACCTAGAACTCAGGCCTCTCTAGGCTGAGTTGAGCTCAGCCACTTCCTATACCTCAGGGGGACCCCTGGCCATGGACTTGATGGACATATGCTGGTAACCACCAGAAAGGGGAACAAAATTCAACAAACAGATTTTGATTATTATTGACAGTTTTTGTGAATTTGCAAGATTTAGACCTTTTCCAGCAGTCCTTTGGGACATCCGTTAAAATTGGAATGATACAGAGAAGATTAGCATCGCCCCTGCACAAGGATGATACGTATAATCGAGAAATAGCGCTCCCCCCCCGACCCCCCCCAAAAAAAACACGCTCATCCAGCAACTGCAAAGGCAAAAAACTGGTAGTCACATAATTCGCCAATAACTCGATTGAGGACTTTGGATTACCGAAGGTCATTGTAAGTGACAGAGATGGAAGGTTCACCAGTGCCCACAGTGGCCGAATCCGGCTGCAAAACCGCCCTTGGGGAGGTTTTGGACTCACGTTGACATTGGTCAATCACCCTGAATCTAATGGACATGTTTAACAGATGGAATGACAAGTGCAGCAGCTTCTGAGGTGCTTCATTTCTCCCGGTCAGCTAGATTGGGGGTGTTAAGCTGCCACAAGTAGCTGGGCTGTATAGTAATGCGATCCATTCAGCCACATGCCGAAGACCTAATCAACTGCGTTTCAGCTGGAAGCCAATCACTCTCCTCGACTTCTTGTTCCCAAACCCGAAACAGCAGTCGGTAGCTGGAACAATTGAGTATGCCCTTGAGTATGAGGAAATGATGGAACAGACAGTAGAACAGGTACGGAAGCTCGACCGGCAATGATAGACTCAGAAGAAAATAGGCACAAAAGAGTTGCAATGTTTCAGGTAGGTGACAGAGCCTAGGTTAAAGCCTTGGAGTTCTTGCCAGAGCACATTGTATCACGAAAGTTGACCCCACAGTACTTTGGCCCCTGGACTGCCTTAGACATTGTAGAAAGCAATCCTGATGGCCGTTCTTGTATGATAGGCATCCCTCTGCATCTCTGCACTTGCCCTGTTTTCTGTGCGTCCAAACTTTTGCCTTTTTCACACAGTGATCAGTCTCCTTCGTGGAAGTGGATGGTGTCGCCAACCGTGATAGGAGGAGAGGCCCACATTGACCCTATTGTTATGCCTGTGCAGAGGCCACCTAGCAGAGGAAGACCACTGAAGCCACAGATGCAGTTCAGTGTGGGCTTCAAGGGTCAGATCCCAAGGAAAGATGAAGACTGCCCCTCAAGTGGTTCTGCATCGTGAGAGGGCTTTAAAAAGGGACCAACAACAAAACTAAGGGTTTTACGGAGGGTGGGAATGCGACGGCTCAGGCGTTGGCAGGCCTCTACTGGGGGCCGCCCAGAAAATTCAGCCCCGGCCGTAAGTGAAGGTCGGGACAGAAGGGTTTTGCCAGCCCCAAGTGAAGGTTGGCATGAGGCAGTTGGAAGGGAGGCTGGGCGCCGCCTCTCCGACTAATCGGTAGGCACAGCCTCCCAGTTAGTTCCAAAGGATGAGGTCCCCATACCCAATCGGAAGGTTCTCGGGCTGGGGAGAGCCCAGTTCCAGCGAGGCAGCCGCGGTTTCTTGGAAACAACAAAAGGAAGGAGGCTGCAGCAATATACACATTCGAAGGCGCTGGCTACCAACGCTAGCTCTGCTGTAAGCGCACACGGCCAGGCCAGTGCTCATCGTCAAAGAAGTAGAGGAGCAAGCACGGGGCAGCTGCTCTACTCGGCAGCAGTCATAGCTGCACTGAGGTGGAAGAAGGTTGGCGCTGGGGCTGGGGTGATCAGAGGAGAAGAACAGTGGTGGGAACAGGCAGACTTACATGGCAATGGCCAAAGAGCACACATGTCATGGTCAGACTTTGCAGCATTATTAGGCGGGAGGATAGTGGACAGAGAGAGAAGAGAGAGAAGAATAGGATGTGCACGGAGAGAGAGAGAGAGTCGGGAAGTAGTCTAGGCAGTTCACATCAGAGTAGACCTGCTACGTTGTGGGTGTATATTGATGAGTTGAGAGGAGAAGTTGGGCTTTCTTTATCAAGAGACTTCAGTGTCAGTGTGTTGTCATTTGGTGTGCTCTTGGCTTTGTAACTCTGCTTTCGACTTTGCTCATACATGCTTGTTGTGCTTTGAGTCCTCTGCTGCTTAAGAAATTTTTGTTCTCAATGATTGGTTCCTTGCACTTTTATACGGGTAGAAGGTATTGTAATAAGCCTGTGAGTTATGAGAAGGCTTACAATTTGATCAAGCAAGTCCAGAGTCCAGAGTCGCTCAATGTAGTCACAAAATAAGCAACAAGTCACCAGAAATTAGACAAAGGTAGAGAAGAAATGGAGAGAGAGAGGAAGAAAAGTTTCATTGATAATCGAAAACACAATTGAAACGGCTCTTCCACCCCTCTTCTCCTTCAGGACCTTCCTCCGCCAACTTGTCACCTCAGCAATGCACGTCTCTCCCCAAAGTCACTGATGAAGCCTCTCTGCAGGTAGCAGCCATGGTCCCCAACCTCTAGCATCAATGCTGGCTATGGAGGTTGGCGCCTGCCTTCTTCAACCTCCTGTGTGACCAGCAGCAGCTCCAGTATCACCAATGCCCAGGTAAGTGAAGGTAAGTTTCCCACTCTCTCACTTGCTCTCCACTCACAAGTCCTCAACTAGCTCTATGCTACAGCTATGGCGCTGCGCGCTCTTCCTAGCTATGGCTACCATTCTCCCTCTCCTTCCTGGGCTGGCGCTGTCTTCCTTTGTCTGGCGCCAGCCTCTCCCCTCTCTCTAACCTCTTAACTCACCCAACAACACTCTGACCACCAGCACATGCAAGGCAGAATGAATGAGCCGTTGGGTCTGCCTCAGCTTG